GAAAGAGATGGGAGAGAGAGAGAGAGAGAGAGAGAGAATGAGAATGAGTGCTGGGAATCCCCCACTGAGTACAGAAACTGTCCTGGAATGTTATCAGTAATAGCTGTGCGAGGTGGAGCCACAGAAGGGAAGAGAGGCTGTGTAAACACGGTAAGCACGTAGACACAGACACACGCACAAACACGGATACACATGCACAGACACATGCAGACACACACAGACACACACACGCAGACACAGATACACACAGAGACACAGACACGCGCACAAACACGGATACACATGCACAGACACACACAGACACACGCACAGATACACACAGAGACACAGACACACGCACAAACATGGATACACACACGCAGACAGACAGACAAAACAGACACAGACACACGCACAAACATGGATACACACATAGACACACAAACAGGCACACAGATACATACAGAGAGACACAAACACAGACACACACACACACCCCTGATGCTTGCTGCGGACCAGCACTGTGGCAGTCATTTCCTCCAGAGCAGATCTATTGAGTGCATTGAATATTCCCAGCGCTCTGTAAGGTGGGTTATTTGATTATTCCCTTTTACAGACTGAAGCACAGAGAGGTTAGGCTACCTGCTGAAGGTCACAGAGCGGTTGAACCTTTGAGAGTTTTGTTCTTTTGTTATGTTTTTGTATTGCTTACTTTGTTTTTTTTTTTGGAGACAGGGTCTGACCTTATAGCACACACAGGTTAGTCTTAAATATGGCAGTCCTCCTGCCTCAGCCTCTAGTCTCTAGTGCTGGATGGCAGGTGAGTTTTTAAAAGTCGGGTACAGTTTGCTTTGAAGAATGGAAAAATACTCAGAAATGGCTTGGCCTCATAAGCTGGCTGGGTACCTGGCCGAGCTGGAAGTGTCCCAACTTCCGCTGTGTCTTTCCTGTTTTGACAGTGTTGGTTGAGGTTCTGGGCAGTGCCAGACAACCCATAATAGTGAGCTGGGCGCTTCAGGTTCTGGCCACTCTGAATGGGGTTCAGTGGCCCCTCCCACTAAGTCTTGTCTTCCCCAGTGCACTCTGTAACATTTCTGTGTTTCTTTTTCTTTTTTTTTTCTTTTTGCTCTTTGAGACAGGGTTTCTCTGTGTAGCCCTGGCTGTCCTGGAACCCACTCTGTAGACCACACTGGACTTGAACTCACCGAGATCCACCTGCCTCTGCCTCCCGAGTGCTGGGATTAAAGGTGTGCGCCACCACCTCCTGGCTATATCTGTGTTTCTGCATTAATGCTGCGATCCTTCCAAACTAGTGACGTGGGTCCCAGAAGAGGATATGGACAGAGCCAGTCGTGGCTGCCACCTAAAGTCATATAGGTGGTTCAGGGCCTCGGAGTGTTTGTGGCTGCCTAGTTTCATATGTGGAGACAGCAATATTTTGGGACTTGGGCCTAGGGCCTCAGTCAACTGTAGATCAGTTTAAGAAGACCATATCAGACGGAGATACAGTGTTGAAAGATGTTTGGGGTCATGCCTGGAACATACTCAAAATGCTCAGTGAATGAGGCCTTCTGATGAGCTAAACTATTGTTGTTGGACCTGGTCATTTTGTTGCTGTTGTTGAATTTTAATTTTTTTTTTTTTTTGTGTGTGTGTGTCTGTGCACCTGAGTACATGTACCCACAGCGTCCTGGAAAGGGTGTCAGCCCCTGGAACTAGAGCTACAGATAACTGTGAGCTGCCCAGCGCCCCCTGCAGGAGCCGTAGTTAAGAGCACTTGCTGCTCTTGGAGAAGACCCTAGGTTTGGTTCCCAGCAAACCTCGTGGTGGCTCACAACTGTCTGGAACTGTCTAGGGGATCCGATGTCTTCTTTTGACCTCCATGGACACCAGGCATGCATGTGGTGCACATACACACTTAGAATGCACATCAAATAAATAAATCTAAAAAAACCTCAAACAAACGACAATAACAACAACAAAAACCGCCCGGCGGTGGTGGCGCACACCTTTAATCCCAGCACTTGGGAGGCAGAAGCCGGCAGATCTCTGTGAGTTCAAGGCCAGCCTGGTCTACAGAGCTAGTTCCAGGACAGGCTCCAAAGCCACAGAGAAACCCTGTCTTGAAAAACAAACAAACAAACAAACAAAAAATTAAAATGGGAGGTTAGGATAGGAGCTGGAGAGATGGTTCAATTGTGAGCTGCTACAGAACCTGGTTCCTCTACAATAGCAACAAATGCTCTTAACCGTGGAGCCGTCTCTCCAGCTCCTCCCCCTTTAACACAGCGACTCATTAGAATGTCGGCTAGGGTGGCTTTGAATTGCCTGCACCTCCCAAGAGCTACAGAAAGGCAAGACTAACAGTGCTCCACCGAGATAGCATTTTGTTATGTGAACCCTAATTGGCCTAATAATAGTTGTGTAGCCAAGTCAGCTTGGAACACATGGCAATCCTCCTGCCTCGCATCCTGAGTGCTGAGATTACAGGTGCATGCCATCATGACTGACTTGTTCTCACTTCTCCCTTTTCTTTCTCGCCGACTCCGCTCCAGCCTCACGACCTTGCTATTCCTTGAACACAGCTGTCATGCTTTATTTCATTCTATGTCCTCATCATCTCCCTCAAACCTTTTAGTTTCTGCGCAAACGCTGCCTTCCTTCACCATCTGTGCAATTCCACCGGAGCCTCCTTCTCTGGGATTGTTTTCTCCCTACAGCAACTTTTTTTTTTTTTTTTTTTAAGGCAGGGTCTCGTGAAGCCCAGGCTAGTCTGTAACCATACAGTCAAGGCTGGCCTTGATACGTCCTTCTCATTCGACTATTATCCCTTGGAAAATACTACAAATTTCTAGTTTGCGTCCTGGCTCTTTGGTTTTCCCCACTGGAATATCAGCTGCAAGGAGACAGATGTTGGCCTGTGCCTCAGTCCTTGGACAGACACCCAGAACAACAACAAAAATGCTCAGGAGCTGGGTGCGGTAGTGCACCCTTAAAATCTAAGCACTCGGGAATTAGAAGCAGAAGGACCAGGAGTTCATAGTCATCTTTGGCTACCCAGCATATGTGGAACTAGCCTGAGCTACATGAAAACCTTCAAAAACAAAGCAAAACAGAAAGTACCCATGGGCTGTGTTTGTGAATAAATAAACCATAGGGAATGCAACATTCCGTTCTTCCTAAGTGTTCCCAATGTTAATATTATTGAAATAATTGCTCCAGATGGATTTTGTTGTTATTTTTAAGAATTTATTACTGGCTTTATTCACTGAGCCCATAAGCATGCTACCACACCTTGCTCGCTCTTTCTTTTTTCCTTCTTCCTTCCTTCCTTTCTTTTTTGAGACAGGGTTTCTCTGTGTAGCCGTGGCTGGAACTCATTTTGTAGACCAGGTTGGCCTTGCACTCACTGAGATTCACCTGCCTCTGCCTCCCAAGTACTGGGATTAAAGGCGCATGCTGCCATTGCCCAGTTGCTGCTGCTGCTGCTTCTGCTTCTTCTTCTTCTTCTTCTTCTCCTTCTCCTTCTTCTTTTGTTTTTCTTGCTGAGTTTTAATTTTTAAATTCTAAGAGCTTGGTGTTCTAAGGCATTAGCATTCAGGATCTATATGTTCTAATCTGCCATGGGATTCTAAAACTGCACCTTAGCCTTCCAAGACAGGCATGAGCTAGGATTCTAGTATTTCAAGGAATCGTTTAGGTTTCCATCAATCAGATGCCCAGTGAGGGGCCAGAGGTGTATCTCAGCGGTAGAGCCCCTGCCTAGAATCCCCAGTGAGGGGCTGGGGTGTGGCTCAGTGGTAGAGCCCCTGCCTAGAATCCCCCAGTGAGGGGCTGGGGTGTAGTTCAGTGGTAGAGCCCCTGCCTGGCACCTGTGTGGGACCTGGCTTCAATCCCAGCACTTTGTGGTGTATAAAAGGTTAAGTACTGGAATTTCAAGGTGTATACAAGTCTCAGCATTTCTGGAATTCTAGTTCTCTTACTTGCTGGAATCTCAGTTTGCTGTTCTTATATTCTGGAATCTTACATGCTAATGAGAATTCTTTCTCTCTTAATAGTTTCTTTTCCTGTGATAAAATAATTCACAGCTGGATGTGGTGGCACACTTTTTTTTTTAATCCCAGTCCTTGGGAAGCAGAGACAGGTGGAGTTCTGTGAGTTTGGGGCTATCCTGGTCTACATAAAATACTGTGCAAAGGCTACTTAAAGGAGAAGGTATTTATTCTGACTCACAGTGTCAATATCTGGTCCACTGTGGAGGGAAAGTCAAGGCAACAGGAGCTTGAAGTAGCTGACCACATCAAAACCAGTCAAGAAGCACTAGTGAGCTAGGCTGTGCCGGAGGTGCACGCCTTTAATTCCAGCACTTGGGAGGCAGAGGCAGGTGGATCTCTGTGAGTTCGAGACCAACCTGGTCTACAGAGCAAGTTCCAGAACAGCCAGAGCTACACAGAGAAACCCTGTCTCAAACAAAACAAAAGAAAAAAGAAACACACTTGGGAAGAATGTATGCCACTTTCCAGAACACTTTTCCCATTCATTTAAAAATTCCTATTTTTAGTGTGTGTGTGTGTGTGTGTGTGTGTGTGTGTACATGTATGTGGAGGTTAGACGATAACCTGGAGAGTCAGTTCTCCTCTTTCACCATGTGGGTCTCAGGGACTGAACTCAGGTCATCAGGCTTGGTGGCAGCACCTTCTCTCGCTGAACCATCTTTCTGGCCCCCTTTCTCCATTTATACAGTCCAGGATCCCAGGTGGGTCCTTTCCACAATTAACATGGGTCTTCCCATATCAGCACAACAAAGGCTGACCCCATCTCCAAGATGCTTCCAGAATCTGTCAGGTTGCCAGTTGATAATAAGTATCACAGAATGCAGGAACCCTGGAGTTCAGGCGCCTAACATCACAGCACTGGACTCTCTAGTCTGGTGTCGCTGGGCCAGCCCGGCCCAGAACAGCAAGGCTCTTGAAGTGTTCCCACTGACTTGTTGCCTGTCTGTCTCCTGCAGGTGTCTGGGGCCAGGATGATGAACCATACCACCATCTACCAACATGATTATGAATATGATTACGATCTTTACCACGACCTTCCGGACGTTCCCGTAGACTGCCCAGATGGCGAATGCTTATCTAGTGATGTCTACCTCATAGCCTTGGTTCTTTTGTATGCAGCCATCTTCCTGGTGGGTGTGCCAGGCAATATCTTGGTGGCTTGGGTGACCTGGAAAGAATCCTGCCACAGGCTTGGGGCCTCTTGGTTCCTGCACCTGGCCGTGGCTGACTTGCTTTGCTGTGTGTCTCTGCCCTTCCTGGCTGTGCCCATCGCCCAGAAGGGTCACTGGCCATATGGGTCAGCAGGCTGCTGGCTGTTGCCCTCGGTCACTGTCCTGTCTATGTACTCCAGTGTGCTGCTCCTGACTGCCCTCAGCGCTGACCTCTTCCTACTGGCTTTCAGGCCCTCCTGGAAGACTGCTGATCACCGGACACTCGGGGTGCGGGTGGCCCAGGTCTCTTCCTGGATGCTGGCCCTGGTGCTAACGGTGCCCTCTGCTGTCTACCGTAAGCTGTATCAGGAGCATTTCCCTCCACGGCTTCTGTGCGGTATAGACTATGGGCACTCTGTCGCTGCAGAGGCCACCATCACCGCCGTTCGATTTCTCTTTGGCTTCTTGGGGCCATTGGTGTTCATGGCCAGTTGCCACGGCATCCTCCAATGGCAACTGACCCGACGTCACTGGCCACTGGGCACAGCTGTTGTGGTTGGCTTTTTCATCTGCTGGACCCCTTACCACATCCTGAAGGTCATAATTGCAGTGGCTGCGCCATTCTCCTTGCTCCTTGCCCGGGTCTTGGAGGCTGAGCCTCTGGTTTCAGGCCTGGCCCTTGCTCACAGTGCTCTCAATCCCATAATGTTTTTGTATTTTGGAAGGAAACAACTCCGCCAGTCACTCCAGGCTGCATGCCACTGGGCCCTGAGGGATCCACAGGATGAGGAAAGTGTGGCGAGCAAGGTATCCACCAGCCATGAAGTGATGTCTGAGATGGCTGTGTAGGCAAGAGGAATTTGAATTTCCTAGGCCATTTCACAATTGTGCAGCTTCAGGCACAGCTGGATCCAGGAGCTCCGCGACGGTTTTTTGTTCTTCATTTTATAAACATTCATTGTGCACTGGCTTGTGCCAAGCCCTGATCTACAGGTGCTGGTTGTGGCAGTGGCCTGAACCAATTCTTGCCCCCAGGAACCAGCACTTTGTAGAGGAAGACAGATAGGAAGAAGCAGAAGGCTGTGGAAAATGTCAGGGGTGAGATGTTTCATAGACCCTAAGGAGGGCCCCAGCACCTACGCAAAAGTTGGGTATGGCAGCACGCCTATAAACCCAGCACTGAGGGCATAGACGGTTCCTGGGGGGGGGTCCTCTGCCCAGCCTGTCTAGGCCAACGAGAAGCTCCAGTGAGAGACTCGTCTCGAGAAATAGAGTGAAGCGGGCATGGTGGTGACACCTTTCATGATAACGCTTCGGGGGCAGAGGCAGGTGGATCTCTGTGAGTTTTAGGCTATCCTGATCTACATAGTGAGTTCCAGGTGAGGATATCCAACCTTGACTGTAGGCTAACCCCCCATACACACGTGTGTGTGCACACAGGCACACACAAGGTGGGGCAGCCTCGGTCAGCCCGGCTAGCACCTTGAGAAAAACGTTATGACTGAGCCAAAATCTGAATAATGGAGAGAAGATCCACGTTTAAATCTGGGTAGCTATTCCAAGCAGGCAGAGCAAGTGAAAAAGCCTTGCCCCTGGGTGCCTCCTCCCAGAAGCCCTCCCTGACTTGCATCCTGCCCAGGGACAAGGGCTCCTCCTGTCTTACAGTCTCTTTAACACAAATGCCCATATTAATTATAAATTCCCCAAAGGTGAGAGCTGGACTTACTCCATTTTTTAAATTGTTGTCTTATGTTTAGTTGTTTACTATGTGTCAGGAAGGGGTGGGGTAATGTGGTTGGAGGACGGTGCTAAGGATTGAACTCAGGTCGTCAGGCTTGGCTGCAATCACCTTCAGCTGCTGAGCCGTCTCGCCAACCCCAAGCTCCTCAGTCTTATCTCATCCCATGACTTAGAAATTATTGGATTTTCTCTGTCTCAATTCTAATTTTCTCAACTCGTCTTGTGGGCTCCTTGATGTTGCCAGTGCCTTTTTGTGTTAGTTTGTTTTAAAGATCTTTAAGCAATTTTATTTAAAAAATGTCATAGAGATATATATTGTACATTGAATAGATCCCCACCCTTACCTAAGGTTTGCAGGATTTTAACACCTATGGTATACTGTGTCCACCAACTCTCCTCCACAAATCCTTGGGTTTTGCCTTTGTTTTATTTATTTATTTTTTTTTTATTTTTTTTAATTTTTGAGACAGGGTTTCTCCATAGCTTTTTGGTTCCTGTCCTGGAACTAGCTCTTCTAGACCAGGCTGGCCTCAAACTCACAGAGATCCACCTGCCTCTGCCTCCCGACTGCTGGGATTAAAGGCGTGCGCCACTACCGCCCGGCTTCTTTTTTTTTTTTTTAATTTTTTTGAGATAGGGTCTCATATAGCCTAGGTTGGCTTTGAACCTGATATGTAGCTAAGGATGATCTTCAACATTTCCTGAGTGCTGGGATTACAGTCCTGCACCATCACACCTGATTTATGTGTGCTGAGGATCAAACCCAGGGCTTCATGCATGCTAAGCAAGTACTCTACCAACTGAGCCACATCCTTGGTTCCACACCGGGGATTCCAGGCAGATGCCTCAGTATTCAGCCATGCTTCCAACATGCTTCCCCTTCACTGGGGGATTCTAGGCAGATGTCCTTGTACTGAGCTCCACCCCCAGACCTCCTTGAACAATATAGATAGCTGTCTGCAAAGTTCAAAGAATTTCTGGTTAATTTACTGGGACCGGGGAGCCTTTTCAACAGGCCTTTTCTGTTTTTTTTTTTTTTTTATAAGACACACTTCTATTCTTTGGTCTTAAGAAATGAAGGAGAACTTTCATGACAGTTTCCAAATGTATTTCTGTGCATTTATACATAAAATCTCTTGATGTTAAAGATACTGGCTGTTGCTTATTGTAAACTTTCTCTCGTCCAGACTGTTACATAATAATTTCTCCAAATTGAAACAAGAAATAATCCTTAAGAGTCAGGGAGTAAACAACTCACAAGTCTCAGGGTGTTCCTGAAACTGAGTACACACACCAGGTCCCATTTTTTCCAAGTGTTCTAGTCTTCTTGCTACTGTGATAAAGCACTCTAGCCAAAAGCAATTCAGAGGTGGAAAAGTTTATATGGCTTACACTTTCAGAACAAAATCCATGATTGACAGAAGTCAGGGCAGGAATCTGAATACAAGAACCATGGAGAAAGATTATCTGTTTGCTAGCTGTTTGGTCATGCTCAGACGGCTTCCTGATACAGCCCAGGGTCAACTGCCCAAGGATGGACTACAGTGGACTCAGCTCTCTCACATTGATCAAGACCATCTCTTGCAGACACAGCCACGGGCCAATCTGAAGGGGGCAATTCTTCAGCTGAGGTTCCCGTAGGCTGATGAAGTAGGACAACAACTTATATAAACTAAACAGTGAGGGCTGCTGAGAAGAGATCTCTCTGACCTGGGTCTCTCTCGCCTTCACAAACCATCACTCATGCTGGGGCCGTCCTCCTGTGATGGAGGTTCACCGAGTTGGACTTTAGTGGTGCCCTTACTTTGGGCTGACATCAGTTCCCCATCTGGAGTGAGAAGATGTTTGCTCACATCTCCTCAGCTATGGTGCCACACCCTATGATTTCTGTTTACGTGTACGGACATGTCTGTGTGTGAAGTCTTCGTGCAGGCACGGGTGTGTACAGAGGATGGTGGAGGTTCACAGAGGGTGTCTTCTTCTAGCATTCTTTACCTTACAAAAAAAAATCTTGTGGTAGAGTGCTTGCCTAGCAAACACAAGGTTCTGGGTTTGGTCCTCAACTCCAGAAAAAAAAAAGACAAAATAACAAATGAAAAAATATTTACAAAATTTTATTTTATGTACATTGGTGTTCGTGTGTGTGTGTGTGTGAGGGTGTCAGATCTGGAGTTACAGACAGTTGGTGAGCTGCTGTGAGGGTGTTGGAAATTGAACCTGGTGTTTTGGAAGGGCAATGGGTGCTTTTAACTATTGAGCCATCTCTCCAGCGCCCCCCCCCAATAATTTTTTATATTTATTTATCAGTGTGTGTGTATGTGTGTGACATTGCCACCCACACTGTAGTACGTAAAGGACAACTTCCAGGAGTTGGTTCTCTTCTGCCATTCTGTGGGTCTCAGGAACTGAACGCAGGTCATCAGGTTTACCTGAAGTTCTTGAGAGCCACCTTGCCAGCCCTCTGTCTTATTTTTTGACCGTCTCTCCATGAACTTGGGGCTCACTGATTGAGCTAGACTGCTTGAAAGGCAAGCTCTGGGGATCCTCCTGTCTGGCTTCTCAGTGCTGGATCTGCAGGTGTATGAGATGGTGCCTGCTTTCTCACATGCGTGTTGGGGACACGTCCTGTTTGTGTGGCAAATATCTTAGCCCCAGAACTGTCTTGGAGCCCCTATTTGTGTGTTTTGTAAATCTGTTTTCTGAGACACTGCTGCTGTCTCTCTAGCTGAGGCTCCTAGCAGGCCTCCTTCCCCAACCTCTCACATAAATATAGGTGTCAATGTTCACTCCTGTCACATCCGGCTTCTGCTAATTTCTTTCTTTTTTTTTTTTTGTGAAGATTTCAAAGGTACTTTATTTTTTCTTCACTATGCCATATTTTGGTGAATACATGATTCTTTGACTTGGGATCACTTATAGGTTGGTTTTGAAACAATTCCTTGACCATTGCACCAGTTGACATGACTGCTGATCTCTCCATTCCTTAGGGGTGACTCTGCCAACAGGTGACAGGCTCCATTCTACTCCATTTTGTGTTGCTGTATATGTCCATGCAGAAATACAGAAGAGGCCTCCAGCTGCTAACATAGCATTTCCGTATTTGTCGTGGAAATTAGGTGTCCGCTCCTGGTGGCTGTAAGAACAGTGATTTCCTTTCCAGTGAAATCACAACTCGGTGACTTTCCAAGAACTGCTTGTCTCATGCGCAGGTGCTGGCAGTGGGTGGGGGCTTCCTACTTAGCTACAGGTTTGCCATTGAGTTCCTTTAATTTTCTTTTTTAAAAAATGTAGCTTGCTGGGTGGTGGTGGTACATGCCTTTAAACCCAGCTCCTGGAAGAAGAAGACAGGTGAAATCTCTCTGAGTTCAAGGTCAGACTGGTCTACGGAGTGAGTTCCAGGACAGCCAGGGCTACACAGAGAAAGGATTTCTTAAAACAAAACAAAACAAAAAAGTAGTTCTTTGCAAGACTAAAAAAATGCTTAGTTTTTTCTGTTTTCTTTTGATGATTATGTTGATTTGGCTCCTGTAATGGAAAAATCAAAAATGCTGCAGGATCCCTGGAGGTAGCAGGCAGCAGAAATGCTGCAGGTCCCCCAGTGGTGGCAGTGGGCCATGTGGCCACAGGTAGCAGGCTCTGAGAGCAGCCAGTCCCAGGCAGGGATGGCTGCAGGTCCCCGAGCAGTGGCTGGTTCAGGGCAGAGAGACACACTATGATGGGCAGGAGACAGAGACATGGCTAGGTACGCCATGCCGAGTAAGGTTAGAGAAAGAAGGAGAGAAGAGAGAGAGAAGGGAGAGACAGAAAGGGGAAGGGGAGAAGTGGGGAGAGGCAGAAGCTGTCTCTTTGAAAGGGAGACAGAAAAGAGAAAGAACTCAGGCTGGAAGCTGAAGATCAGCCGGCCTCAGCAGACAGGGGAGGGAGTGGGAGGGGCTTGTCTCTTAAAGAGACAGAACAGATCATTACAGCTCCTATATGAGCTGTTTTCCATTTTTTTTTTTTTTTTACTTTGTGGTGTGTGTGTGTGTGTGTGTCCTTGGAAGCCAGAAGAGGGTGTCAATCTCCTGGAGCTGGAATTACAGGTGGTTGTAAACAGCCTGATGTGGACACTGGCTCCCTGTCTTCCAAATGTTTGATACTAATGTCTAAATTCTCTAAATTCTCTCTCAACATTCGCCCCCATCTGGTCTGGTAGTTTGAAAGATATGTGCCCCACAGGCACACATACTTGAACACCTGATCCCCAGTTGATGCTGTTTGGGGAGTCTTGCTGGAGGAAGTCCATCACTGGCAGCAGCTTGAGAGTCCACAGCCTTG